CTCCCTCTTCTGGTAGAACTTGTTTTTACAGGGTAAACCTAAATCCTGAACTGGTTGTGTTTGAAAATTTACAGACTCTTGGGTTCCTAAGGGACTTATTCTGTCTTCTAGGAATAATCTCACCCTAACTGTTACTGGAATCACACTGAAAGAAGATGTAAGTATGGCAATCCCTGGAGAAAAATTATCTTTCTGCTGCTTCTTCCCACAAGCCAATGGTGGCTCTGGGCTCCTAGAAAACTGTCACTCAAACCAGGGCTGGAAAGAAACTGAGGAGCTGGCATCACAGGCAGCTTACCTGAGACACAGGAGAGGACCACCTGCACTGACTATTACCATGGGATGGCCTGGTACTGAACCAGCCTCAAGTTCAGAGCTCTCGCAACATGGGGACAGTAATATTTGTGCCTTTCCTGGGATCAATGTGAAGATCAAGTGAGTATTATATGTGATCACAGTTTATTAACTATAAATCATTGTGTACACACAGGGCTTTATTCCTATCACTTTGTCTTGACTCCCTGCTTTCTTGCTTTGAAAGCCTTAGAACATGCTTTCATTTGTTTGCCAATATTGATTACCTAAAGTGTATCAAACCATGCTAGGAGTCAAGTGCAACCAGGATGTGTACTATCTCCTGACTCTGTTAACCAGAGGACAAGTGCAATCAGGATGTGTACTGTAAACAAGTTAAACAATGAGCTATATGAGGAAATGACACTAATTAAAAAATAGACACAAAAATCAAAGAAGGCAGCCCAAAGAGGAAGTGATATTCATATAGGGTTTTCACTTATCCTGTGCATGTGTAAAAATATTCACTGGGGCCTCCCTGGTGGTGCAAGGGGTTAAGTTTCAGCACTACGAAGCTCTCACTAGTCACTACACTGTGAGTTTGATCCCTGGCCAGGGAGGGGACCTACATGGTGCAGCAGACTTCTCCTGTCTCGCTCTCTGCCCCCCTCAGCAGTGTATTTCAGTAGATCTGCCTATTCTGCTCCCCACACTGTTTCTGGTGAATCATCTCACCCCCACACCTCTAGCCTGTACCCCAGTTCTTGTGTGCATAAATAAATAGACCTTTAAAACAATAAAATAAAATAAATCTTTTTTTTTAAAGATATTCATTGAACACATACTATGTTCCAGAAACTGGACTAAGCATTGTGGACACAAAAATGGACCAACAGACACCTATATCCTGGTGGATGAACAATTATTTAATCATCATTCTACTAAGTTCTATGAAGAACAGTATAGGAAACAACGAGAACATCTTACAGAGGAACGTGACCTATCTGTGGAAACCATGAAGGTTACTCTCAGAAAGTGACATTCAAGCCAAAGGATGGAGAATGTGTTTCTAGACACATATGGTCAGAAGAAATGTTTGCTATATCTCAGAAACAGAATGTGTAAAGGTTCTGTGGTTGGAAGCTGCAGGTAGCTGAAGAAGGCCATTAGAACTAGGTCACTGGGAGTAGGCAGGCGTGACATGCGGTATGAAGAAGATACAGCCAGGTGCTGTACTGCGTGGGGCCCCAGTCTGCATTTGTGACTTGGACTTGACTCTCGGAGTAGAAAGACACACTGAAATGTTTGCAGCATGGGGGGACATGATGAGACACAAGTATCCAGTAGACTAACTTACAGCGTTTGGATGGGTAGAGGCCAGAGCAGACGTAGGGAGGCCAGATTGGAGGCTACCGTGGCAGGTTAGGACAGAGAAGAGGAAGGTTTGGATCCCGACACTGGCTGTGGAAGTAGAAAAGAAGTTGATGGATCTGAGACATATTTAAGAAGATGAATTAGTAGGATTTCGGATTTGAACGACTATACTGGTGACGGGGGAAGAGCTATTTACTGAGCTAGGGACCATTCTTGAGGCTGAAGCTTGAAGTGAAAGCAAGTCGAATGTTTGGTCCATGGGGGACGTCCAAGTGACTAGGTGGTGAAACAGGTTAAAGTGCAGCACTCTGAAGTGATTTACAACCACTGCAGCACAAGTTCAATCCCCAGCCAGGGAGGTGACCTACATGGTGCAGCAGACCTCTCCTGCCTCACCAGCTGCTCCCCTCAGCAGTGTATTTCAGTCAGTCTGCCTGTTCTGCTTCCCACTCTGTCTCTGGTGAATCCTTTCACAACCTGCACTTCTGGACTGTACCTAATTCTTGTATGCATAAATAAATAAATCTTTAAAAAAAATAATGTTGGAGTTGAATGAGATTTACTGCTAAAGGAGTCTGAAGTTGAGCAACCAGAATTCCTAGAAGCTGTGGGAGGAAAAGCAGACAGGTGCAGAGTCCTAGAAATCACAGATAATGAGTTAAATAAAGGGGGGAGGAGATTATATCAAATGCCCTATTGAGAGAGACCCACTAGGATGGGACCATGATATTTGCCAATATTATTGGTAAAAGAAATCTACTGCACAGTGGGAAATGAGGCCGCATAAGGTCAAGAGCTGTGGAATGACTAGAAGGTGAGACTGTGTAGACAGGAGGGCATTTTAGGCAGAGAAACAGCACAACAAGCATAGTCAGGAAGTCTTGAAGATCTATGTTGTGTTTGAAGGACCTTACACAAATCAGAGTGGCTGGAGATGACAGAGTGGAAAAGGGTGAGGGGAGGAAGAATGGCTGGAGTAGATGATGGAGAGGGAGACAGATGTGATCCACCCTGACTGTAAGTGACAAAAAGCAGGAAGACAACTATTTCTTGAATAGTTTATATGTACAAGGAGTTTTCACATACATTATCTCACTTAATCCTCGTGAAAGCCCTGCAAAGTAAGCATTCTTTTTTTTTTTTTAAGATTTATTAATTTATGCATACAAGAACTAGGGAACCAGCCAGAGATGCAGAGGGTGAGAGGAATCACCAGAGATAGAGTGGGGAGCAGAACAGGCAGATGTACTGAAATACACTGCTGAGGGGAGCAGTGGGTAGGTCAGGAGAGGTCTGCTGCGCCATGTAGGTCAGGTCCCTAGCTGGGGATCGAACTTGTGCTACAGTGGCTGCAATAGCTTCATAGTGCTTCACTTTAACCCCTTGCAGCACCAGGGAGGCCCCAAGGTAAGCATTCTTAATCTTACTTTCCTGTTCAGAGAAGTTAAATAACTTAGGGTCACACATCTCCCTGAATTTAGGAGGATCTGAGCTCCTGAGGGGGTGACAGCAGGTGGGGGAGACCAGGGCCCAGATCCCTTTCATCCTGCAAGGTAGCGTCAGGTGTGTTGGCCAAAGCAGAGAAAAAGCCAAAAGCCAAAGCCAAATGCAACAAGATGATAGTTCAAAGCCAAGTGGTCCATCCAGAAGTCGGGTTGCAGAGCCAAGAAAGGTGGTCCACACAGCCAGAACCCCACCACTGGCCCAAAGGCCAAGTTAATCACAAGCAGTAGGGCTTTACCAAAGAGAGGACTGAGAAGGCCAGGAACTGTCAGGAGTAGGAAAGCCATCACCCAGGCTTCAATCTTCCGGAGGAGCTGGCATCCAGCTCCTGGAGATCAGAAGGTGGGGGAGAGAGGAGAGGTGGTGAATTGAAGAGCTACGTGATTTAGACCCTCCAGAGACTAACATGATTGTGAGACATCTTTTGGTGCCTCTGAGAAGAGGGTCTCGAACTTTCAGATAGTGCCTCCTCAATCAGGATCTATATGGAGAACAAGCACAACTCAGACCCCCCACAGATTCAGCTCCCCTCTACAGAGTAGGCAGGAAGAGTGGCTTAGCCCTTGGACTTGAGGAGTTACACTTGATTTGTATTCTAGAGGGAAACTATGAAGACATTGAAGAACAGCAAACCCCAATCTGGCCTATCTAGGATATTAAGGAAGGAGAGCTGTCGTCAGGCTTTCAAGGCTTGCTTAAGAAGGCATCTTCTCCTGGTCCAACACTCCATAGGTCATTGTTTCACATTCATATGTACACAGTGGCCTCACAACCGCTCCATAAATAGATGCTGCTTCTCTTCACACTCCAATTTTTGGGAAATTTTTGAGCAAACTAAGGCGGGGGCCTGGTAAGTAACTGCAGGAAGTCCATGGTCAGAGGGAGAGCCAAGTTTTATTTAATGCAAATTCTATAGTCTAGGAGAGAAAATGGTCAGGGAAGGCTTCACAGAGGAGGAGGTACTTGAACTGCCCCAGCGGCAGGGCACCAGGTGCAGGAGGGTGATAAGGTCCTCTGGGCAAAGACACAAAGAGGCAACAGAGCGCATCCAGGTGAAGGAACAAAATACTGCTCCTAGGATGTGAGCTCCCTGAGGAGCTGGGGGCCAACTCTGAGGATGCCCTGGGGGTGGGGGATAACTGAGTGAGTGTCTGGACGAAGGTTCTTTGTAGGAGTTTTTGGAAATGAGCTTGGGAAGTGAGGCAGGAGCCAGAGGATGGAGAGACTTTTAGACAATATGGAGGCCTGGCAGAGGAGCAGGGGAGACCCAGCAAGAGCAATCAGCTGGAAGGTTTTCCAGGAGAAAGAAGAGGAAGCCCAGAAGTAAATCAAGGTAGAAGAGCGAAGGACAAGCAGGAAACATTTAGGAGTTAGGGTGTCTGGCGACCCCCTAAAGGAGGGGTGACATGTTCTCCTCCGCAGGCAGAAAGAATACAGAAACAGTGGAGAGACGCGGATGAAGGCTGTGGAGGGAACAAGTGCGGGCGGCGGGCACTGCCCTCCCCCTGCCAGGTAGGCTGCAACCTCAGTTGTCACTCCGTGGCTGCCAGCCGGAGAGGGAGGGGCCTCCGGGACTCCCGGAGGCAGCAGTAACCTGCCAGAACCCGGTTAACAAAGGCAGGACTACAACTCCCAGCATGCTCGGGGCCGCGGAGTGACGGCGGGCGGTGGCTGCGCTGCCCCCGCCGGGTGGGCGCCGCGCTTGGGTCGGCACGCGAGCCTGTCACTCCCGAGGGGTCTGCAGGGGTGCGCGCTGGCCATGCGCCCCCTTCCCCCGCGCACCCGCCGCCCGGGGCTCGCGCGTCCCGCCCCGCGGCCCCGCCCCTTGCCCCACCCGAGCCGGGCGGCTTAGCGGCGGCCGCAGCGCCGCGGCAACATCACTCTCGCCGCCGCTGCTCCGCCCCATCCCCTTCTGTTTTTCTCATTCTCCGGTGGCGGCGGCGGGGAAGGAGGAGGCTGAGGCTGCTGCAGCCGCGCTGGCTGCAATGAATGATCCCCCAGCCGGGGGGGCGGACTCCAGGTGAGCCTCAGCCCTCAGGAGGGCCGGGAGCCCCGGGCCCCCAGCACCGGCAGCCCCCGCCATGGCTCCCTAGAGGACGAGGAGGAGGAGGTGAGGAGGAAGAGAAGACAGCTCTGCCGCCCACCCCCATCCCGTTTTCCTCTTCCTTTATCTCATTGTTGCCGTAGCTGTTTACGGCCGCTCTCCCTGTGCCCCAGCATGGGGCGGGCTCCGGGCGCTGCCCGTCGGCAGGCGCGGCTCCCGCGGCTGCTGCCGGGGGATTCTGCCTGATTCTCCCACCCAGCCGGTGCAGCGAGGACCCGAGAGCGGTGAGGCCCGGACTGCAGCAGCGCGGGGCCACCACCCAGCATCCCCACCCTAGGAGGCTGCATGCGGATTGAAGAGCGGCGCCTGGGGGCTGGGCCGGCCCCGCTGATCCGCACCTAGGTGAACCCTAGGGAGGACCGCGGGACCACCCGGGCCGCGGTCAGGGGCCAGGAAGGACAGAGCAGCAAGATGGCCAGTAAAACCAAGGCCAGCGAGGCCTTGAAGGTGGTGGCCCGGTGCCGCCCTCTCAGTCGGAAGGAGGAGGCTGCCGGTCACGAGCAGATACTGACCATGGACGTGAAACTGGGCCAGGTGACCCTGCGGAACCCCCGTGCTGCCCCTGGGGAGCTACCCAAGACCTTCACTTTTGATGCCGTGTATGATGCCAGCTCCAAGCAGGCAGACTTGTATGATGAAACCGTGAGGCCTCTGATAGATTCTGTGCTTCAGGGATTCAATGGCACCGTGTTTGCCTATGGCCAGACGGGCACTGGCAAGACCTACACCATGCAGGGGACCTGGGTGGAGCCCGAGCTGCGTGGGGTCATCCCCAATGCCTTTGAACACATCTTCACCCACATCTCCCGCTCCCAGAACCAGCAGTACCTGGTTCGGGCCTCCTACCTGGAGATCTACCAGGAGGAGATTCGAGATCTGCTCTCCAAAGAGCCCGGCAAGAGGCTGGAGCTGAAGGAGAACCCGGAGACAGGTGTCTACATCAAGGACCTCTCCTCTTTCGTCACCAAGAACGTCAAGGAGATCGAGCACGTGATGAACCTGGGGAACCAGACCCGGGCGGTGGGCAGCACACACATGAATGAGGTCAGCTCCCGCTCCCACGCCATCTTTGTCATCACCGTGGAGTGCAGTGAGCGAGGCTCAGATGGCCAGGACCATATCCGTGTGGGCAAGCTCAACCTGGTGGACTTGGCTGGCAGTGAGAGGCAGAACAAGGCGGGCCCCAACACAGCTGGGGGGGCAACCATACAGGCTGCAGGGGGAGGCGGAGGGGGAGGGGGAGGCGGCGGTGGCGGCGGAGAGAGGCCTAAAGAAGCCTCCAAAATCAACCTCTCGCTGTCTGCCCTGGGCAATGTGATCGCCGCGCTGGCGGGCAACAGGAGCACCCACATCCCCTACCGGGACTCCAAGCTGACCCGGCTGCTCCAGGACTCTCTGGGAGGGAACGCCAAGACCATCATGGTCGCTACCCTGGGCCCAGCTTCTCACAGCTACGACGAGAGCCTCTCCACCCTGCGCTTCGCCAACCGGGCCAAGAACATCAAGAACAAACCCAGGGTGAATGAAGACCCCAAGGACACCCTGCTGCGCGAATTCCAGGAGGAAATCGCCCGCCTGAAGGCCCAGCTGGAGAAGAAGGGGATGCTGGGAAAGCGAATCCGGAGGAAGAGCAGCCGCAGGAAGAAGGCCGTGTCCGCCCCGGCCGGATACCCCGACGGGCCAGTGATCGAGGCCTGGGTGGCCGAAGAGGAGGACGACAGCAACAACAACCACCGCCCACCCCAGCCCATCCTGGAGACAACCCTGGATAAGAACATGGAGAATTACCTGCAGGAGCAGAAGGAGCGGCTGGAGGAGGAGAAGGCAGCCATCCAGGATGACCGCAGCCTGGTCAGCGAGGAGAAGCAGAAGCTGCTGGAGGAGAAGGAGAAGATGCTGGAAGACCTGCGGCGGGAGCAGCAGGCCACAGAGCTGCTTGCAGCCAAATACAAGGTAAGGGCCCCAGCAGGGTTGGAGTGTTCCAGAGGGCCACAGAGACCAGGCTGGGAGACTTCTGTGAGGGTCTCTGACCTGGCCTTAAACAAAGTGTCCTCCAGCACCACAGGCTGCCCTCCTGCCGAATGCTCCCAGAAGCTGCCAGGCAAATGCCTGTGACGCTGGGTGCACGCACACACACACACATACACACACGCACACACACACACATACACACACGCACACATACACACACGCACACACACACGTGCGCACACATAGCAAAGCAGGCAGGCAGGTGGTCTCTCAAGTCAGTGAACTTGGGCTGGTCTGTCCTGCTGCCCATTAGGCTCTACCCCAATTTCCATCATGTCCTCAGACGAGCAGGCAATTCCTCAACCTCTTGTGGTGGGTTCTCCCTCCTCATACCCCCTCCCTCGGCAGCACCTTCCAGCCTCCCACCATTTAAAAATATCTGACGTCAGGATGGCATTTCACAATTTACAGAATGTCACCATGATCTCATTGGCTTCTTAATGTGGCCATCTAAGGTACCATTTCTCCATGTTCTGGGTGAGGGACAAAGCTCAGAGAAGTGACATGACCCAGGTTCCACCCAGTGAAGTGGCAGCTTAGCGGGAGCCCTGGACCTCGTGTTCTTTCTGTTCTTGGAGGGGAGGCCAGACTGTTCCCTGAAAAATGGCTTCCTGGGCGGGTGCAGGGCAGGACTCCTCACTCAGTGTCATTGGGCAGGAGATGCAGGGGATGGTGCCGCAGAAGGAGCAGAGCACCTGGCGCTACGCTGGAGACTGGTACCCAGGCCCTGCTGTTCTACAGCTCATTGAGTGACCTTGAGAAAGTTGCTTTTCCCTTCCCTCAGGCCTCAGTTTCCCTGTTTGTAAAGTAGAGGCCTGCCCTGGGTGAACTCGGAGTCTCTTCTCGCCTGCTAATTCTATGACGTGTGTTAATCCAAGAAGCAAACCAACTGGTCTCCAAAGCCAGACCTCATCACAGTAAGATCCCATTCTCCATTGCCCCGAGAGCCAGCAGGGCTTGGCATCCTTCCTGACAAGTTCCCTTCCCCATGGGTGCCTAAGGGGCCTAGGTGTGAGACCCCATCCCCTTCTGGACAGCTACAGACCTATTGAATTTCATGCACAACTCAGTGTTCTAGGCATTTCCAAATCACTCTAACCCTTGATACTGGGGGTGAGAGGAGGGAACAGAGAACTGAGAGCTGATTGCTGGATGGGGAAAGCAAAATATTGATGTTTCTGACTCCTCAGGACTGGGCTGGGGAGTTGAGGTGCCCAGCCTGGAGAGGGAGGGTTTCAAGTGCTGGAATGAAAGATGAACTGCTTGCTATTGTCTGCTGTGGGAATGCTCTGACCTTGCACTTTTCCTATTGAATTTACCTGTGTGCGCTCAGCAAGGGTCACACAGAGCCACTTCCTGGAAGAAGGATCAGGGGCCTGGCACACTTGAGGCCATCCTGGGAGAAGGGGGATGTTCGGGGCAGGACAGATAGACTTGCCCTCCCTAGAGGAGGAAATCCAGGCCGCCTGCTTCCCACCGGGAAACCTTATGTGGGTAATCTGTCATCAGTTCTGTTAGCAAGAACTGCCCCCCCCATACCCCTTGGTTCCCAAAGCTGAAGTCAGCCAGGGCTAAGAAGAGTACAGAAGCACAGCTTAGGCCAGAGGAAGTGGGAGGGTGGTAGGTGAAGGGTCCAGTGGTCCACATTGCCCATCTTCCTCAGTAAGATACTTGCATCTAGGGCAGCAAGACACTTACAGCCCAGGTCTTCTGATATCCCTTGGGGCAAGGTAGGGTGCAGATAACAGAACAGTCAAGAGATCTTGGTGACCAGCACAAATCTTGCACCAGAGGCACATTCTCTAAAGCCCTAGGGCCTTGGCCACCAAGGCCTGAATTTGCCCAGGACTGCATAGATGTGTAAAGGAGAGCCCAAGCTCTATACTTGGCACAGCCACTGTTACGCCAGAGTCCTGGTGTTACCTTGGCTACTTGATCATGAGAATAAATTGTTTGCATGTAACATTTTGACATTAATTCTCCCAGCAACCCCAAAAGATGTGTGTTATTATTTCCATTGGACAAATATGAAAGCAAGGCTGGGGAGGTTAAGGACTGTCTCAGCGACCCCCCAGCTGAGAAGCAGTGGAGCCAGAACCCAGGTCTTCTGATACCCCCAGACCTGTGCTCACTTCCAGTCATCACAATCCCTCCATGTTGGCTCGCTGTGCCACTCAGGGCAAAGCCCCTTGCGTCTCTAGAACTCAGGTTTCCTTTTGCTTAATGAGAAGTCTGACAAGCTCCCTAGGGAATGGGTGAAATGGCCATTATGTACCCGGCTTTCAGATATAAGCCAAGGGGGAGGGGTGCTAGGAAATTCCAGGATGGGGAAGATTTCATATCCTGTGACTTCTCCGCATGCGCAGCTCAGGACAAGCAGCAGAGAGCAAGCCCAGAATGGAGACGGAGGACCCCAGCCCCCTTCCCCCGCCTACGGCACCTCCTGGTTCAGTGCTGGATGTTTCTAGAATGAAGGAAGCAATTTGAGGGCCCTTAGGGGATTCACAGGGTAAAGTGGGGAGGAGTGCTTTGAGATAATCCCAGGCCTGCCTATTTCATGGGGTGGTGCTGAAGATTAAATGAGATCATTAGCGTGAGGGCATTTGAAATAAGTTGAAAGCTCCAAATAAATGGAGGGCATTAGCAACCAGGGGGAGCTTCTGTCTGCTGAGCAGGGGGCCAGTGATTTCCCTGGATTGAATCTTCATTATTTGCTTAACTCCTTCCTTCCCCTGCCACCCCAGCTGCCTTGCCCTCACAGCCGCTGGGAGCAGAGCCAGGCTAGAAGGGTCTAGGAAACCTCAGGAGGGCAGGAACTGGGGTACCCTTTTGAAATTAGCAAAGCTTTTGCTCCCCATTAGTGGTTTGCTTTGGTTCCCACTTTTGAGTGAGGACGTTGACTCAACTCCTCACCTCCCCCGATTTCCTCCCTCCAGTTCACACACCACCTTCTGGGTGCCCACTGAGGTGATACGACCCAGTACCCCCATTCACTCCTCTGACTCAGCTTAGTCGGTAGTCTGTGTCACCTGCTTTCCCTGCCTGCCACCTCTGGGCTCCCAGTTCCCTTTGTTCTCCCCTCACTGTATATAAACACCAGGCCTGTCTCCTTGGACTCTCTTTTCATCCTTCCTTTCTTATCTACCCCGAGCTGAGCTGTAAGGATGGTGGGGCTTGCGAATGTCTCAGTGCCCATTTATGGTCAATCATGAGTGATCTCATGTAGAGTATCTCCAGGGGGCTAAAAGCACTGTAGCCCCCAAGAGGCAGGGGCTCTAATAGATTCATAGATGAACCCCACACTGAGGATATGGTGTGGCCCAGAGGGAACTCAGATGCCTGTGCACGCTCTGCAGTGAAGACTGGTGGAATGCACATAGGTGGCCTGGAAGAAACTTAGCTTTCCTCAGATTTAATTGTGCAAGAAAATTTTTTTAAGATTTATTTATGCATATAAGAAGTGGGGTACAGGTCAGAGGTGGGGGGGGGTGAAAGGATTCACCAGGGACAGAATAAGGAACAGAACAGGCAGATCAACTAAAACACACTGCTGAGGGAGCGGCGGGCGAGACAGGAGAGGTCTGCTGCGCTGTGTAGGCAACTCCCCGGCCAGGGATTGAACTTGTGCTGCAGTGGCTGCAGACAGCTTCACAGTGCTGCGACTCAACCCCTTGTGCCACCAGGAGCATCCCTCTTTTATGTTTTGTTTTTCTTTTTTTAAGATTTACTTATTTATGCATACAGAACTGAACTGGGTGCAGGCCAGAGGAGCAGGGGCCGTGAGTGGATTCACCAAAGACAGTGGGGAGCAGAACAGGCAGACTGACAAGTACACTGCTGAGGGGAGCAGCAGGTGGGTCAGGAGAGGTTTGCTGCACATTGTGGGTCACCTCCAGGACTGGGGATTGAACTTGCGCTGACTGCAGCTTGCTTACAGTGCTGTGCTTTAACCCATTGCACCACCAGGGAGGGCCCCCCTCTTTTATATGTAAAGCATCAAATTGGGAAATGGTTGCTGGAGCTGTGAAAATGACAGGTTTGGTGTTGATATGAGGTGACAGACTCTTAATAGGCAGCTGGAGAAGGCAGTGGCGTTTAGAAGAAACACAAAACTAGAGGCGGAGTTTGGGGCTCACCTTTACAAGAGGACACATGAGATCCAGGGTCTCTGTTCGTGACAGGCTTTTCCTCTGTGTAAATGAATCCTGACCTGGTTGCCTACACTGTTCTCATTTACCACATGGGCATCAGGGTCAAGCATGCCAGGTCTTAGTGGCTTACTAGTTCTGGGACCTCTATGTCTCCTCATCTATAAAATGGGAAAATAGTGTCTATGTCATTGTGTGACTGAGGGGATTCAGTGAGATAATCAACATAAAGTACTTTGCATAATTCCTGGCTGTAAGTCATAACTGCTTATTACTATTATCTCCAACTTCCTAATGGAAGTTGATACCTTCTTGATAATATGAATCATATCATCCTTAACTTGCCCTTCAAGGCCTGCCCAAACTACTCCAGGAGGAAAGCCTCCCTGCCAGCTGGCCTCCCTCATCCTTTGAGCCAATGTGTCCTCATCACCCTTTTGCTGATTGTCCAGTTTTGTATCCAGGCTTTTCCTTGGAAGCCAGGGAGTGTGGATTATGCATGCAGGTTGGCTCAATGTAAAGAAGAACTTCTTATCACTTAGAATGGGGCATCTGCAAGAGGTAACTGGCTCTAATCCCCAGAAATCCACATAGAGAAACTAGATGTCACCGGTTCTCTGAAAGGGATTCTTGAATCAGAAAAAACATTGAACTAGCTGACCTTAAAGTTCTCTCCTCTTAAAAAGTTCTTGATTGTTTGGAGCAAAATAGTAAATGTTTATTTCTTTTTCTGACAATTAAGATCAGAGGGTTTCAAATGTAATCTGTGTGTTC